CCCTCCTTACTGCTGCTTTTTCAACGAATGGTGGTCTTGGCAAAGGCACCAATCGACTCATTGTTGCTATCGCCAACCACTTGGCGCACGAAGCTTTTTGCCGGGGGAATTTTGAAGACGAAAAAGCCTTAGTTCGCCTGAAAGCGCTTCATACTTCCAGGATTCGGAGACGGTTTACCTTCGAGCTAGCTCGTTTTCTGTCGATACGAACTCGCGATGTGTTCAAACGTCATGGGCTACTGATCGACCAACTTCCACCAGGGCCAATCGGTTGGGATCTCTGCGACAACGATAGTAGTGAGGGTATCCTTTTGGGAGTGACGAAGACGAAGGAAAGGGAAAGAAAGGGAAGAAAGGAGGACGAAGACGACGATGGAGCAGGAAAACATGGAGGAGTGGAAGAGAGCAAAGGTTTGAGCCAGATGACCTTCCCCGCAACAAGAAATGTAGGGCTAGGGAAGAACTGCCCAGAGATTCTTCTTGTCATTTGAGGATCAGAATGATGGTGGCGAAAACAAGGAGGATACTGGTGAAAGTACTCCTAAACGAACTCGAGTACTAGGTAATAGCCTTGGTAGACGCGTGCATTTTTCGTCTGTTGTTGCTGCTGTTTCTGTTTTTGATCCGAAGGATAGTTTAGCCTCCCCCATCCTGCCCCCTCACGGGGTCCCAGTTCATGGTAGATAGAAGTGCTTTGTGTTTTCAACCGCACTAAGACTGACGTCTTTTCATTGGTCAGCCGGTTAGCGCGGTTATGCTAATACAAAAAGCACGCACACATATCAATTTGAGAACAGTAATTAATTAAGGACCCATCATTTTTTTCGCAAAAAAACTGTCTTAGGAGTTTTTTCCGCGCGCGAAGCGCGCGTGCGAAAATAAAAACGGAGCGATAGCGGAGTTTTTTTCGCAAAAAAACTGTTTTAGATGGGTCCTTTTGTTTCCCGGCCTGGGTTCTGGGGNTTTTTTTCATTGGTCAGCCGGTTAGCGCGGTCGATGCTAATAATATGTAGCGTTCTGAAGGAAAGCGGTGTTTGGTGGAGGCGTGTCGGAATTCGACTTCAAGGGGATAGAGCTGAAGCGTCCCCTGGTGGGGGAGCGAACGCTCGTGCAGTCTGTTTGCGTTCGATCGGACAAGCACACCAAGAAAACACCACGAGGTAGTGCCCAGCACGGAGAAGAGTTTGGACGTAGGGCTTGATCGATTTTTCGATGGCTGCTCCCTCCAGCGCCGTCGCTCAAGCGCAAGCTGCAGCCGCGCTCGCAGCAGAAGAACAAGCCGCAGCAGCAGCGGCCGCAGGGGAGGAGCAGCCGGAGGCAGCGGCGGCAGCGGCGGCACAAGCAGCGGCGGCAGCAGCGGCACAAGCAGCGGCGGCAGCGGCTGCACAAGTAGCGGCGGCAGCAGCAGTGGTGGTGCATCCTCCTCCCCCTCCCGTCAACCAAAACCCTGAGGTGAACGTGGGAGGAGACCAGCCCGCCGTGAATCTCAACGCAGT